TCATCGTTCTCTTGGTTATTGATTTCAATTGATTGATACTATTATAGGAATTGCCTGGGGTTGATAGCTTGCTGCTTCATGAAAATCATCAATCGCTTATTTGTGTCTGTCGGAAAATCCTATGACCATTTCCGTGACCCCCCTCCCCCCCACTCCCAAGGATTTCGCGACTAACGACTACTGTCCCGGTCGCCCCCTCCTCTGACCTCTGAACGGTGTCTAACTCCTGCGCAGAGGCTACAGCAACTGCACCGGTCCCGGCTACGCGATGCACTCTGACATCGTAATGCCGTACATCTCTCACTTCGGCACGCCGGAGCAGATCGAGCGTCTGATCCCGGACATGACGGCCGGAAAGAAGATCGGCGCCCTGGCCATGACCGAGCCGGGAGCCGGCAGGTGAGGCGGGAACGGGGCTGGTCAGGCGGGGACCGGGGAGGTTAGGCGGGGACGGGCCACTGAGGTGAGACGGGGATGGACCGGTGAGGGGGGGGGGGACGAGCTGGTGAGGCGGGGACGGGCCGGTGAGACGGGGATGGACCGGTGAGCTGGCGGGGACGAGCTGGTGAGACGGTGAGGCGGGGGCTGGTGAGAGATCCACGGCGGAGATACAAATAAGGAATCGAGATGAAACGCTTTGCTGAGTCATTGTGAGGTTGATAAAATGTTCTCTCAACTGACAGGGCAAGAGTTTGGGTCGCCTGGCACGACCTCTAAGTTACCGATGATTTTACCGAACACGATTCGGAAAGTGCTTCGATCATCACTGCTTGAAGCTTTTTGCTCGTTGTCAGGAGGCAGACGCTGGGGTCAACTGGATCCTATGTTTAGCTAATCGGGTGCAAGGTTCAGGGAGCTTATCAGGCTGTTTACCCGATGTAGAGAATTTTGCCACAGATTGAATTTCTGCAGCCCAGGGCTACCTCGCGTGTTAGATTGACATGAACCAGATCGTTGGGAAATTAAACTTTCAGACATGTTACGATGATTGGTCTTGCTCTCACATGTGAACTAAAAGTAGATAATGTGGGAACTAGGTATTTCTGTGCCGTGCACCAATTCATGTGAAGTGGCCGGTCTTAAATTTTTACATTCTGTAACGTTTAATATGCTTGGATGGCAAGACCTAGAGTGTATCATTGTCGTTTAACGGAACGCTGAACTACACGATGAAGGGTCATAATTGAATAAAATCAAGGGACGGAGATGAGTAGGGAGTAAAGGAAAGGAGATGAGTGCCATGGAGATGAGTCATTGACACACTAGGGCGACCTTGGCGAAGTGTGGAATGCTTGACTCCCAACAGCACGCCCTGACTCAGCGTTTGGTTTCAGTGATCTGCAGGGTGTGCGTACCACGGCAGTGAAGGACGGCGACGACTACATCCTGAACGGCAGCAAGGTATTCATCACCAACGGCTACATGTGCGACGTGGTGATCGTGGTGGCCATCACCAACCCCTCGGCCAAGTCGCCCGCTCACGGCATCAGCCTCTTCCTCGTGGAGGAGGGCATGCCCGGCTTCCGCAAGGGCCAGAAGCTGCAGAAGATGGGTATGAAGGCACAGGACACTGCCGAGCTGTTCTTCGAGGACGTGCGCCTGCCCAAATCGGCCCTGCTGGGGAAGGAGAACGGCGGCTTCTACCAGCTGATGCAGGAGCTGCCGCAGGAGCGTCTCCTGATCGCCATCATGTCGATGGCTAACTGCGAGTGGGCCTTCGAGGAGACGCGCGACTACCTGCTCAACAGGAAGGCCTTCGGCAAGACGCTCAGCAACCTGCAGGTGAGGGCGCTCCCCGCCGCGGACTTTTCTGCCCCTGAACAGCGGCCAGGGCCCTCTAAACCGATAACCGAACTGATCTGAGCACCGATAAGGCCGCCCTCGGTCCGCAGACCGGAGGTGGAGGCCGAAGATTAAGTGTTGCCAGTGGGAGGGACTGAGAGGGTGTACGGTGGTTTAAATACGTGCTTGGGATAAGGACGTTTTTCATATAATCACATAACGAAAAAAAAAATGTTAGCACTCATGATGGCGCAATCCGGATATGTGTTGATTTACACTGACAACTTGTTTTCGCCTCAGTGACTGAGACGGGATTGGTGACCGAATAGAGGGGATCTACTCGTCTGACGTCGTCCCGTGCTTCCACAGACGATTCAGCACCGTCTGGCGGCCATGAAGACCGAGCTGGTTGTGAACCGCGCCTTCACCGATCAGTGCATCGAGCTGCATAACCAGGGCAAGCTGGACGGCGGCATGGCCTCCATGTGCAAGTACTGGATCACGGACCTGCAGAACCGCATCACCTACGAGGCGGTGCAGCTGCACGGCGGCTGGGGCTACATGTGGGAGTACCCCGTCTGCCGGGCGTACGTCGACGCCAAGGTGCGTGTCAGCCAGTGACACCGGCCGGCCGGATCGGACTGCCGGCCGGATCGGACTGCCGGCCGGCGCAGGTGGCGCTGCTGGCCGAGAGGGCTTGGATGGCAGCATCCTAGCTAGGACTTCATATGTAGCTGTCTTCGATCGTAGTATTTGATGAAAGGCCATTGAAATAGCCTCATTGTCTTGTCGTTTTTTTCGATGGTTATTTTCTTTTTTTCTGCTGTTTTCTGCCGTGCCTTGTTTTTGCAAATGTGTACATTTAGGTTTTCAAAGAAGTGGCACTAGCGATGAAGCTATTTTGCAAAGCCGTTCATAACCTGCGCATTTCTTACCCTGATTCATATCCGTGATATCAATTATCAAGTATCAAAACGACTAGTCTGTTTTCCTTTAATCCTTGTCTCATGATTATTAACACACGCTCGAATGTCTTGAGACTTGGCGTCACCGACCATCATTAAGTAATTGTCTGCCCGTCGTTTCAGGTCCAGACCATCTATGGCGGCAGCAACGAGATTATGCGGGAGCTGATCGCGCGCCAGATCGTGTCGAAGAAGTGAGCTGCCGCCCGAGCGCCAACTCGCCTCCCTAATCCGACTAACTCCTGATCATAGGACAGGCTCGGCCACCGAACCGTTCGGCAAGGTATGACGTCTTCTTAGTTTCGTTTTGGGTTTGATTTTATCGGGAGCGAGAAAGCATTGTAAAGGTTCGTATTTACTTTTACCACATGCCGAGATATCCCTTTAACATTAGCACGTGCATTTGGGAAATGGTTTCGGCCCGCCTCGGCTAATGTTGAAGGTATTTGGGAAACGACTCGGCCCTAGGGCTTTTTGATTTTCCCAGACAAAGTTTTACTGAATATTCTGAGCGGAAGAACCAATTCCAAAGAAGATATTAACGGATTGTGTGTTCACTAACAGCAACAGCAAAAGTAGGAGTGACTGCGTGTTTACTTACTTTTGCTGTCAACGTACTTCAACTGTAAACAAGGGTATCGTTCTAATGCCAATTTATTTATTGCTGCAGAACATGGTCAGAATAGTCATTATCACTACATAATGCACGCAAAAAACGAACACTTTAAATGCGCAAAGCATCTTAACGAGCCACAATGAAACATTTGATATTGTTCCAACTGGGATCCAAGACGCGTTTGATTCAGCGTTTCACCCAATTTTCAGTTTTCCTCGCGGTTTCCTCACTCCTGCCGGACTCCATATTTTTATTCTAACTTCTGGCGCTTCACCATCTTCATCCTCAGCTTTTCAAATCCGAAATAAGGGGGAAATAGGGAATTTCATCTTTTATACTCAACGCAGCCCAATAATGAAAAACACAAAAAAAAATCACGGTGACTATAAATATGAACAAAGTATTAATACAATATTAACACAATATTAAGAATATAATATATAATATCAAATGAATATGATATTAACTGTTGCGCCGGTACGGCATGTGGTAAATCTCTTCCCAACCTTGGGCTGTGAAAATGCAGTTTTATTCACCTCGGTTTTTGGCTACGGACCTCGTGCCTACCGGCACTCGGTCCTCCGCACAAAAACCTCGGTGAATAAAACGCATTTTCCCAGCCCCGGTCGGGAATATATAGTACCTTTGTCTCCGTCAGCACTAAGTCGTCTGTTGGCAGTTCAGTGAAACCGATGCCGATCCGGCCGTGACCTTTTACGTAATGTACTTTAGTGTGCCTTTACCTATTACCTACAGCCTCCAAGTACAGTCTCCTCTTATTGTGATGAGTGGTGCCCTGTGAAGGCCCGCCGAGTTGTGGCGAAGTATGCAATTCAAAATGCATACCAAACATCAATGCAATGCAGTACAAGGGAATCCATGGCTAGAAAGCGAGCGCTAGATATGTCGGCTCAGCTTCTCTAGCTAGACCATTGTGAAACGTCAAGTGCCAGTGATTTGGAATCATATGACTAATTATTGTAAAACAAGTTCGAGCTAGTTATTTCCATTTCCCTCTGGAAGCTTAAATTGGAGCTTATTGGCACACTCCAGTGCGAGCTGCTGAGATGAATCGTATAGTATATTTTGTAGTGAAATATATGTCTACAGAACAAATTGCTATTATAGTTTCTGACTGTGCGCTTATACACGATTATTCAATATTCTACCTAAAAATGTCGAAAATGGAAGACTGCAGTAAAGGGCGTTTCTTTTAAAGGATTGCAGATTGTGTGCTGGAGGTTGTTCGTTTAAGCAATCTCTACTTGTTGAACAACTCCCAACGCTCAAAGCTCGACTTTAGCTCAAAGCTACGGATCGTCATTTTCGACAACATTGAAAATAGCAGTTTAATAGTAATGACCATTAGAGAGCGTTAACTGTTTCAAAGTCGTGTCGCAGTGATGCCAATTAACGGTGAAAACCGAACAGGACATGAATAGCAGAGGGGGACTTCGCGATGCTTGTTCGTAAGGTCTGTAACGATACATAATATTCTGTTATGCGATAATTTTAGAGACAAATTTTGGTGGGGTTACTCGCGAAATTTGGATCGGTGGTCGTAATGCTATTGCATTTGGTATATACGCACACTTGCCTTTGCCCGAAATGCAGATTGCGCAGTTCAGATCTTCACATTTATTTTACATAAACTTTCACTCCGCTGTATAAATGCTAGTCTGACGGTAGTAGTAATTAGATAAAATGCATAACATTTACTGTTTGCAAAATTAAGCGAACGCAAATATTTAAAGGTCACAAACCGTACACAGCCAACAAAAGCACTGAAAATAGGAAGTGTAAGACACGCGACGCGTTTGACACCCGTGAACAATTACACAAACACGTACAAACACCGATGCACCACAAATGTCGTCCGCTACCCTTCGTCGTGCGTTCCCTACCTCATCGCAGAAAAATGAAATGATCATCTTGTGTGTCTTGTGATAATTCAGTGCACGTGCCGAGTTGATTGCTTTCGCCACACTGACGGCCTTAAGGCCATTTAAAATGTGGTGTTGGGATGGAGTTGCTCTCTATTCAGTCTTTCAGACATTTCAGTATCAAAGGTCATCGTTGTCATTGCATAGTTTTGTGGTAGAGCATAGGGGAACGAAATAATCGGCAAATAAAATTGGCCCTGCTGCGGGGCAGGTACACACACTTGCAAGGCTTCGAGTCTGAAGTTGAGTCATTGTAATGTCGCGATCTTATTTCAAACGGTGACTGTGTGCCGGGAAACTGAATAAAACAGTGCCGGATGAGTAGCAGCTCTGCTGAACGGACAGGCAACGAACGCCCCTCCGGTGCCCAGTGATTGAAAAGGTCACCGAGTCAATGCAGTGCCACAGTTACTGCAGCAGTGTCTACTGATTGCCGCCAGCTGCTCTACGAGTAGACTATAACTAAGACGGGATATGCTGGTGAGTGATTCAGGTTCGACAAGGGCTGCTAGGCTAGTCGGATCTCGCGCTCATGTCTGCCCTAGTACGGATATGCCAGTATCGAAGGCTCCTCTCTTGAGTATGCGGTTCTCTCGATATGGTTGCCTTGTCGATATGTGGCGCGGCGCGCCCCTTCTGGCAGTGTCAGTTACACCGAACACCGACAACACAGCACAACACTGCAGATATGGCGCCAGGAGCGCACGCCGCTCTTGAAGAGCGCGTTAATTGCACGGTACAGAAACGCTGCAGCGAATTGAACGCACCTGCTGGCGGAGGGTTATCGGCCGACCCGTGAAAACATGTTGTAGCTAACTTATGACGCCCAGCACTGGACAATAGCGGCTCCGAATTCGACGCGAGACGCCCGGAAACTTATGGCAGCTACTCACAACTCTGCAGAGGATGCTCTAAGACTAGAGTAAACTTGTGTCGGTTGGCCAGTGTGCTTTTGTGCGAAGTTCACAGCACAGCTATTTCTGCTGATACGGGCGTCGGCCAGCCTGCTCGGGCTGGTAGGCTTAGAGTGTTCAGTTTAGCCCGGCTCGGTGATGGCCAGTTTAGCCGCACGAGCCGACCAGTCCGGCCGTGTTTCTGTACGCGGGCGGCTCGGAGATGCGGACGCCGGCCGCCGACGGCTGCGGCGCCGGGTGGGTGCCGAACGAGCCCAGCGCCGAGTCGTGCCGGCGGCCGGCGGCGGCGCTCGTCTGCCGCCGGATCACCACCGTGTCGGCGCAGTAGAAGGGCTGCACGGCGCGCGCCGGCGCCGCCTGGCCCAGCCGCGGCGGCAGCGTCGAGTGGCTGGCGCTCAGCGGCGCCACCGGCACCGTCGGCGGCGGCACGCGCTGCAGCGACATGCACGCCCGGCCCGGCGACGCTGTCAGCTTCTGTAGCGGCAGCGGCAGCGGCGGCGCCGGCTCGGCGGCCGCTCCGGCCGGGCTGCGGTGCGCGCCCGCCGACGCTCCGTCGTCCCCGCACCGGTCGCTGCCCGGCGCCGACCGGTCGCTGGGCGGGGAGGTGGGGTCGCCGCGAGCCGTGTCGCCCAGAGAGGCGTACTGCGGGCCGCGCACCTGGTCCTGCAACGAGGCTGGCGTCAGATACGAGACATACTCATGAGATACATAACTCACACGTACTAGAGGGTTCTCAGATACTCATGTTATTAAGGGGTTATTTAGGTATGTCTTGAAAGTTTGTTTTTGATGCTGGGACCGGTGCGTTATTTGCAGAACATTTATTTCACCCTAAACTGCCTCACAGTTACGAACTTAAACAGTGCACGGAACCGTTCCCGGCTAAAAGCTCCGGTCCCGCCTCTGTCCACCCCCCTCTCCGGAGCAGCCCGAGACGGCTGCCGCTGAGCTCGACATTCCGGCGGACATCTGTCCCGGGTCGCTGGCGCAGTATCACCGGGACACGTCGCGCGACGGGCCAACCGTGGCCTAATATCGACAAATGGCGCGGCCGGAGCTACCAAAGGTTATCGGCCGCGCCGGTATTGGACAATCGTCGATAGTGGTTAGAGTGGCGCGGCGCGTCTGCCGCCGCCCATCAGCCAGCTCCCAGGAACTGGGTATTGACACGGTTAGTGATAGGACGGGAAACTCGCCCTTCATCGATTATACGGCGTGTTCAGATGACGGGCAGTGGATCGGACTAGATTTGACGTTTGAATGACGTTCGCAGCTTCGTTTCATTCCATTCCCCCGGGTTTTATTTACGAGGCCATACCGCTTTTCACGTCCATGGGAGATCGAGCAGCTGGCAGCGTCATTCACACACGTATCGCGCCATCCAGTCTCTGGCCCGTGGACATTGGACTCATGCTGTCGGATTGGAGGCACTAGTCGGGGAGCGAATCCCGCCTGGGAAGGCAGAGCGGATGTTCCGCGATTTTCCGAACTACGTAGATCGATCAGACTGCAACATTATTCAGCCTGTGTGACCTCTAAGCCTTTAGCCCTTACTGGCACCAGTTCTCAACAAATATGTATCTATAAAGTGCATAGTTATTAGCGAGAGTTATTTGCCGCAGTTTCAGCAAGCTCCAATTTTGATCAATGAGAGAGCATTCTGGCGTGATACATTTATCTACTCATTACTTACGAGTGATTACGACCCAGCCACGCGCTTTTCCTAAGCTTTATAAGGAGACTGGTTGAGCTCGACTAACGTATGAGAGCCGTCGCCCGTCCATAAGTCAATATTAAAATGTCGAGCTGTTGGTCGCTGAGGCGTAAAAGCGTACATACCTACCGTAGATCTTAGCCCGCGCCCTGATTTTGCCCTCCCACCCCCTGTGGTTTTTCTTGATTAGAGAAAACGGTGGCGCACAGCGCCGCCAAATTTTCAGTACCTTCCGAGACATGAATTTGACACCTTCATACAAGATTTCAAGTCATAGGTCACCTTAGGTCAGGAGTTGTTGAAGTCAAACTGAGGTCATGTTCTACAAAAAAAAGAGCTAAAATCAGGAAATCAGGAAACGCTCACAAAAGCTACAGCTAACAAGCAACTTCAAAGTTTTTTATGTGGTCGTGTGGAGAATAGACGGCGCTACAAACCTGCTATCTCTGATTTTCATAGTTTTGTGATGTTGACCCCCCAAAATAAAAAAGTAATTTTTGGATGTACATAATAGCAAACAAATCCCAAAAGTTTTATGAATTTCGAAAAAAAACGAAACATGTGTAATAGCCCCTACCCTTGATGACGTTCCGACCGTTCCGTGCTTCTATCCTCAGGATACAGAAGTCCTTCTCCTCCACGCCGCAACCCCCCTCCGGGCTGGACAGGCAACTTTATCTCATGCGGGCTGCTCCCTTGGAGCGGCACCGCTGCTCCCGAGGGAGCGCACCCCGTAGCCGGGTGCAGTGAGTGCCTTGGGGCTGGGTGGCCTGTCCTCTGGACGGGCTCAGCCCTGGCGACTCACTAGGATGCCTGCCCAGACCAATGTCTCCCCCTTTATCCTATCATCCTCCCGGCTCTGAAATGGTATTGCCAGACCGAAAGGGCCTAACCCAACAAAACAAAATCGATACCTCCTTCTTTGTCCAACTTATAGCGAAAAAACTGATTAAAATTGATAACGTCAAATTTTCAATCTTTTTTTCCATTCCAGACCACGTAGCGTAAAACAAAGACCACCATTTGACTCCCCGTGACGAGCTGCATCGAATCGACACCCATTTTATGCAAAATATCAAGTTTGAAATTTGACCTAATTTGACCTGACCTTGACTTGACCTACACCAGAACATAAGCTTAACTGGCCCTAAAGGTGGCCTGACCCACATAATCGCATTTGCGATGAGTAAAATGGACCATAAAACATGTATCACCCGACACTTTCGTATTGTGACCCTCAGTGACCTGAACGCTGTGACCTGACCTGGTATTAGTGACCTCATATATCAAAATACGTGTTTGAATGACAATTCCATACAGAAGATGTTCAATAATATGCTCGATTTTACAACACATTTCTTGAAAGGCAACGGTGAAAATTCGATGAAAATTCGACATTTGACCTGACCTGTGACGTCATCGGTTTGACTTAGGTCAATGAAATTGGGTCACCACAAGGTAGGTCACCGTTGGGGCTATCCAACACCGTTTGCTGCTTGTCGCTATGTTGCGTGGTTCTTGGGATCTTAGGGGTGGGGGGCCAAAATGCTCCCCATCAGGGCGCGTCGCCCGGCAGGGCGCGGGCTAATGCGCCGATCAGTGTGCTTGTCCAAGGGGTAGCCGTTTACGCATTGTTCGAATCGGGCAAGCCTAGTCGCGTAATGTCACTTTTATAACTATACACGCATATTGCAGATATCTGCTGAAATGGTTAAGTTCCTATATTGAAGTAGGGCCTATAGGCACTTCAATACATGTGCTTACGTTCTGGTAGGCATAATTGCCCGCCAGCCCATGGCCCGTTAAACTTCCGGGAAACTCCAATGTCCTTGGCACTAGCAGGCAGGAGGCTAACTTTCAGGCCTACATTAGCATTGCAAGCACGTTTCACCGCAAAATATACCTACCTTGTACCCGGAGCAGCTGTAAGCCAAGAGGACCAAACTTGAACCGCGCGCGGAATTAACTAGCACTGACCCGCGTTTAGAATTAGCTAGCACTGACCCGCGCCTTGCTGTGGTGCAGATGCGAGCTGTTCTGGTTGGCGTTGGTGGCCAGGTCGTCGTCCTCGGTGTCGGTCAGGTCCGGGGTTCGGAGGTCAGTGACCTCGGTGTCCGGCATGGCGGCGCGCGCCGACGACAGTTTGCGAGAGTGCCCCCTGGGACGGATAGACGCCGTCATTAAACTCGGCCGCCAGATTGAACGCTATCCGGCCAAACGGGCTCCAGCGGACACGTCGACGAATTAATGCATACTGAACATCAATTATACCAGTTGAGTTTGAGTTCAACGAGCGAGCCACATTGAGCCGAGCCGGCAAAGCCACGGAGCTAATAAAAATTACTGTGGCTTGTCTTCTTTTACCTATACCTACTATACAGTAGTGAATGAAACGAATGATGCCAAGGGTTAAACGGAATGGTCCTTCATTCACAAATAACATCGGGCTCCTACAGTCACCTACTCTTGGTCAGTTCCCTGTGGTTGCGCCGACTCACCGTTTGTGTTTGCTCTCGGCGGCGGGCTGCGGCCGGCGCTGGCTGCTCCAGCCGGCCACCTCCGACTCCGGAGACGGCTGCGGCGTCGGCAGGCTCGGCTTGTGCCAGTACACCTCCTCCTGCTCCCAGCGCTGGCGGCGGCCCTGCACGTGGCCGCGCACCAGCTCGCTGATGTTGTGCCGCACGGCCGGGTCGGCCACGGCGGCCACGCGGCCAGCGCTGACCACCAGCAGCGGCGCCGGCTGGCCGTCGGCCCGGTCGGCGGCCGCGCGCCGCTGGCACACCTCCACCTCGTGCACCAGCTTGATCTGCTCGGCGGAGCGCAGGTGCGCGCGGCCCAGCACCACGCGCAGTTTGAACGTCCAGCGGTGTTTGACGGAGAGCAGCAGCCAGAGCAGCACCCAGAGCAGCAGGTGGAGCACCAGCGCGGCGCAGCAGACCAGCGCGGCGCTGCCGCGGCCGGCGCGCGTCACCAGCGCCAGGTCGTGCACCAGCGGGCCCTGGCAGCCGGCGGCGGCGGCCAGCAGCAGCAGCGCCGCGCAGTGGGACGCGTACCCGAGCGCCGGCCGGCGGGCGGGCACCTCCAGCTCGTAGCGCTGTCTCTGGCGCACCAGGTACAGTCGGTACTTGTGGTAACCGTACAGATAGAGTACGGACGTGGAGGCCAGCAGCAGCGCCGCCGTCAGCAGGTACAGCGCCGCCGTGGTCGGCGTGTCGAGCAGCAGGTGGCGCCGCGCGCCGCTCAGCTCGCCCGAGCCCACCGCGTGCAGCCGGTACAGCACGGCGAACCCCTCCCAGGCGGCCAGGCTCACCGCCGCCGTGACCACGTTGTGCGCCGAGAACAGCAGGCCGAAGCACTTGTTGCCGCTCCAGAAGCAGCTGGCGTACTGCAGTCCGAAGACGAGCAGCGCGCAGGCGTAGTTGACGAGCTCGCCGCCGGGCGCGCTGGCCGGGCCGAACTGGCGCGCGATCTGGCCGGCCGCCCGGCGCGAGTCGGCCGCGTCCGCCGGCGCCGACACGGACGCCCACGCCGCCGCCGTTGGGGACGATGAGGATGAAGGTGGTGCTACGAACGACCTGTTATCGGTCGGAGTGAAGACTAGCGTGGGTTGGCTGCCCGCGCCCAGCAGATGGTCCAGAGTGCCCGACCAGACTCGATCTGAAACAGAAGGGTCGGTGAGGGTTAACGCGAATTCGTGTTTGATTAGGATCAGGAGTGTAATTTTATATCTGTTTGTGGGGGCAGATGCACCCACAATCCTGAATTATGCCCCCACAATGATGAAAATGCACTCACAAGTCTTTTACAAAGCTGCAAGCGTCCTTTCAAGAGCACGGCGCCCTTCGCATGCTCTAGCGGCGTCCTCCTGACCGTCTGGCGTTCCTGGATAATCTAGCGTTTATAATCACTCGGCGCCCTTCTGGGAGAATGGCGCCCTTTTGACAGCACCGCGCCATTCTCAACGGCGCCCTCCTGACCGTCTCGCGCCCTTATGTCTCTGTCCACCGTGCATCCCTCGACTGTGTGGCGCCCTTCTAGGAGAATGACGCCCTTTCCATGGTCTCACGGCGCGCTCGTCACCGTCTGGCGCCCCTATACGTCCCCACCAGCTTAGCATTACTGACTGCCGCGCCCTTCTGGCCTCTCAGCGCCCTTGGACCACGTAGCGTTTTCAATTCAATTACTCGGCGCCCTTCTAGGAGAATGGCGCCCTTTTCATGGTCTCACGGCGCCTTCATAACCGTCTGGCGCCCCTCCTACTGGATGGCGCCCCTCTACATTTTTTTTTTTTAACGCCTTCCGGTCACTTTACTCTTTTAACCGTGTAGGTATTTACATGTCACTTAAAGCGCCCTTCGGCTAGCAATGTTATTAAATTCGGTGTAATTTAGGCTCCCACATTAAGAATATCCATTGCGCCCCAAAACGGCCTGGCGCCCCTACAGCTGGGTACCCACAATCATTTTAGGAAAATTACATCACTGATTAGGATGATGTGGTGTTACAATAAATCAAATGACTTATATTTAGAGATTTGTCACCTAGGTAAAGCTTATCATGACTCAGACTCCCAATACGTTGCCTAGCCCGGGCCGGGCCGGGCCGGGCCGCTACTGATGATTTTTTTTTTTTCAATTTAGTACCAATGTGTTGAATACGCGGATTATGGACCGATGAATGAATTCCAACATTCATCGTTTGAATTAGCGGACTTAAGTTTGTCCGCATAACCTAACATGATCCGTAGTCCAAGGGCGCACACATGGGGGGGGGGGGCACACGGGCCCGTGCCCCTCCCATTGGAACTGGGGGTGGGAAGGGGGGCATTAAAGGCTGTCTAAGCTAGACCGCCTCAATGGTCCTTAAATGGGCCCCTAATCTGTAAAACGTTAAAGACCGTCTAAAAATGAGCCGAAATAATGATAAAAAGACCGGGAGACATCTTCTAAATAAAAAGACATCTCGGACCCCAGCAGGCCCATATGAGTCCATGCCATGCCCAGTAGCGCAGTCAGAGAGGGGAGGTGATAGAGGTAAAATTACGACGACCCTCAAAAGGCCTCAAAGGGCCCTCATCTGGCGTCAAATTGCCTCAGAAGGCCTCAAAGGGCCCTCAGTTGGCGTGGGGCCTAGGACTCTTCGGCATGGTGGCCCAGTTTGCAGGTCGTGCCACCCCCATTCAAAAATCATGTGTGCTTGCCTGATCCCGGATCCGTACCACTCACTGACATCAACAGGCAGTGATTGTTTCCACCGAGCGCCGACCATGCCCGTCACTCGTCAGGAGTCGGATGTATCGAGCGCTGGAACGACTCGAATTCGGGCTCTCATAGCTGGAAATCCGATGCTCCAGCCTCCAGGTAGTTACATACCAAGGAAATACTGAGCTATGGATGGGCCGAACACATTGAACAGGGAATGGAAACGCCAATTAAGTTTCTCAGGTGTGACAATTAACACCTTCCGCCTTCGATACCCGTAAGGCCTTGTCAGGCAGGGCTTACGCACTGGTATCGTTTTTACAAACCTGGTTGGTCCCGAGCCCTACCAATTACTGAAGAGCATTTTAACATTCATACAGCACTGCAGAGCAAGAATGACTTTGGCATCCTTAAGTTGACCATAAGAGCCCAACCAATGAATTTCAAGAAGTGATCCCGTGGGCTTACGGCTCACGAGCCTAACGAGCGTTCGTGTTGGCTGAACGCCGAGAGCTGGTAACTGAATGCATGCTGTGCCGCAATGCGTGCTTGTATTGCGGGCTAGTCTACCTTCCGGTGCCGAACAAATGCCACTAACCGAGTGCGGCGGCGGATGGCTTACCTTACGTACTGCACCGTCTGTCCCAGGGGCATTTAAGCATAGGTAGGCGAGGGAAGTGGATTAAAAGATTCGGAAACCTTACTCAGTATTTAAGTTCTATCCTGCGCATCGATTCCGTAAACGTTTCCATTGTTTGCGACCGCACCCGTGACGTTTCTCAAGCATTACATTCTGCCCTAGAGTTGGATGTGCTGACTGCTGAGAATAAGGGAGGCATTAGGCAAGCAGAGAGAAAGAAAGGCTTAATGTTGTGCTGATAAGGATGATGCCAAAATATCTAGTAACAGGGGCGGATCCAGAAAATCTCCAAGGGAGGGGCCATTAGAAACCAGGAGGCCCCCCCCCATAATCCCACCTGTTGGAGGCCCCATCTTCCCACTTGTTGGGCCCCCCCCCAAAAAAAAAACTGCGTCTATTGAGCTTATCTAGCTGTTCAGGCAACATCTCAACATCTGTGCAGGCTTGGAGGCCCTCTGTGCAGGTTAGGAGGCCCTGTAAAAGTGGTCATCTCTGTGAGTATAAGAGACCTCCAAGTTATGAAAAGCTTTACCAATCTTCTAACAAAGAAGTCTTCTCAGCTAGTCTTCTAAGAAATAACTAAGTGGGTAGGTTAAAAAAAAAAACTCATCGGATTTCGGCCACTTTATTTTCAGGAGGCCCCCTTTTCAGCTTTTTAACTTTTTAACTTTTTATTTTATTTTTGAAAAAAAATCGGCCAAGGGGGGGGGGCCATGGCCCCCATGGCCCCCCCCCCTTGTATCCGCGCCTGTCTAGTAATGACCACCTAAATCCGAAACCTACTTTTTAAGGGTATCTACTAACGACATATTCACATTATTACTTTCCGCAACAACTGTCAGTTCTTTATCACTGTTCATCTCTCACCTGAGTCCAAATATCCGGCGTCGATCAGTTTGGCCTCCAGGATGAGTCGCGGCAGCAGCAGGAACATGGCCGTGACCAGGTGCAGGAAGGCGGCCGTGGGCCCGCCGTGCACCCAGGCGCGCCGCAGCCACGTGTCGGCCCACACGGCGCCGCTCGTGTCGCGCGAGCACGCCGTCACGTGCGCGCCCAGCCGGACGCCGTCGTTGGCCAGGTTACCCATGCGGAAGCAGCTGGCGGCCAGCAGGAAGGGGAGCAGCACCACGGCGCCGCCCACCAGCGCCATGTACGAGTTCAGCTCCCAGAAGGGCCGCTCACCGCCGCGCCACGCCAGCCGCGTGCACGTGAGGAAGCGCGTGCCGGCCTGGTAGACGAGGTAGGTGGTGCCGGCGAGCACGGCCGCGCCGTACCAGACCGACCAGAGGCTGGTGGTGTGACACCGACAGCAGGGCCGGCGCGGCGGCGTGGTCTCCGCCTCCGCCGCCGCCCCCGCCGCCGCCGCGTCAGCCGCGCCGGCGTCCGACGCCGACTCAGACATGGCAGCACGCGAATCTGTGGGGAGAGATTGGGCGACTCACGCGATGTAGCACTCGTGGCACGTGACGCGCCGCACGTAATTCGACACGGCCGATTGCTGACACGCAAGAACACTTAACTAGCCCTGCAATAAGGAGATTTATAATCTGAGTGTGTTCTTATAGACATTACAAACGCTTCCATACATGGCTCGTGTTATCATGATAAGTTAACCACTTTTAGGATCGAAGTGCATCAGCCGTTTTTCGTCTAATTGTTGTCGGATGTCGTTCTAATTAGTCCCACACAGATAGCTGCGTCGTACCATTTAGCAGCGTTTAACGGTTTATTTGCTTCTATACCTACTATGTATTTCTACATACTCATTCCCTTAAAAAAAAAAAAAATTCTTCCTTTTTCATCACAGGGTCATAACTATAATAAACGGCTGAAGCGCTCATTCATGGTCTTTGTGCGACACTGAGTAATTTTATCCATCCCGGTTAATCTGAGTAAAAGTGGGTTCAACGTTCTTGGGCCATTGTTCTAGCGGCGTTGCGGTCGTTGACGGTGCTCGTAAACAGGGCAGATGTGCCAAACGGGCTGGAGCGGGCGCGCTGACGCACTCGTTCAGGGCGTTGGCCGACAGTAATATATAATACTGAACGAGGCCGGTGTAAATAAATTTTCAAGACCGAGGTCCTTACTGGATTTTTGAACGAGGCCGAAGGCCGAGTTCAAAAATCAGTAAGGACTGAGGTCTTGAAAATTTATCACCGGCCGAGTTTGGTATGTATTTTACTGTATGCCAACGATAAATTTATTTTCTGGACCGAAGCTCTTAGCCGACTTAGGAACGAGACCATCCCAAAATGTTGGCTGAAGTGCATTCTGGTAATGCATTTTTGACCGTGGTCAACTTGCTTACACCAGTTATTACCACACCCCTCTGGCTAATGTATTTGAATAGGCCAGGCATACAGTAAATGCCGCAGATGTAATGGGACTGTGATGTAGGTGTCGGCTCTGAGCGGATTATGCACTGCGCCGTGCGCGCGTGAGCTTCTCTTGCTGGTGGATATAAAGAATCTGACGAATGGGAAATGCATTGCATGATATATCTAGAAGTTCTCAGACCATAGACCACAGATGACAAGCATTTTGAAAGGGTAAGGGAATGGCTCATGTACTTGTATATGCGGGGTAAATTTTCTTGAAATACTTTACGTACTTCACTACTTACATCTACAAAAGGTGTAGAATTTGGAAATGCGCAGAATATGACCTCCATCCATCAATCGTCAGTCTTTACCTCAGGATGCGACCATCAAATGATCGCCTCCCTTCAGAAACAAGTTAAAGCGCATATCGATTTCAAACGGAGCCATCTGATAAAGTTCAGTTCCTTCCTTAACCCTCGCCCGTATAGGGGGGGGGGTCGAACGGACCCCCCCCCATGGTTTTTCGCGAATAACTCGCGTAAAAAGCGGCCGATCGCGACGAAACTTTCAGTACCCTCGCGTTAATCAATTATACATCTACTCTGAAAATTTCATGACCCTGACCCCAATGACCTTTGACCTGTGACCTACTTTTCGAGACCATGTTTGGCCGGAATCGCGATTCGGCGTATGTCGGCTCGCATTAGCCGCGCGTTTGCAGTCTTTTCGTGGTTTCAAGCGTTCAAACATGTGATATGATGTTGCCCCCATGCGTTAGAGTGGGTGTCAAGGTCACCTGAAGGTCAAGTCAGGTCATTGACCTTTGAGGACCTCGGTACACTTTTTCGAGTTTTACATGTTTCTAGGTCAGTTTTTGCAGCTGAATTCGAATTTAGCAACCATTTGAACATTTACGAAGTAGTTTTGGTGCCCTCGTAACATGTTACGAAGCTATCAGAGGCGGTTGACACCTACTAGGAATACCCGGCAGGACCCCTACTGGTTGACCTGACCTGACCTGACCCGACCCGGACTAAATGCATGAAGACATCATCTGTGATCAAAACTAACATGATATTCGTGATCAGCACCCCGAAAAACCCCGTAGCAGCCACACTTTACGACGTTCTAACAGGCCCGATTTTCCCGACTTTTGGGTCATTGACCTGACCTGCAAGGTCAACCAATGACCTAGGACCTTAAAATTAGGTATCATCGGCTTCCTCTTGTCACGGGCAACACGCTCGTTTTTTCCGCGAAGCTCTAGCTCGATCAGGGGCGAAACGGCAAGGGGGGGGTCCAACGGACCCCCCCCCCCCCCTTATACGTTCTCGGCTGGAAAAACACCAATACGGGCGAGGGTTAAGAAAAACGCAGAGGCTCCCTTTTCGGTTAAAAAGCTAGTTTTCAAAAGTGCCCTCAGTAGTTCAGTGTTATACGGCTGCGAAAGCTGGCTGTGCAACAACATAAAATCAGTTATTTCACCGATATTGTCAGCGCTAAAGCAGTTATTGTCGGTTCGCAACCAGACATGTAGGTACGGACTTAGTTCTGGCGGAAATAGAATATCCAGGCACTACCGCTATTGTCAAGGAATTTCCAAAGGAAATTCATCGATAAGTTGACCCCCCGTGAAAACTTTAATACCAGCTCAGCGTTCTTTGCACTAAATTTAGCGAGACAAGCAGGCGCAGGGGCTGGGAAGTATATTGATGCTGTAATGCAATATGAATCTGGGTCTTTTTGAGCCGCCAGTCTAGCGAGATATCTACTCAGACCAGAATTTGTGGATCGGCATCTTCGAGAAGAGCCACATACTGTCAGTTTAATCCCCACCTCAAGCCACACCCAATGTATGATAAAAATGTTCCTGAGTATGTGCGTACCGCATTTACTCGAATTCGTTTAGGCTCCCATAGGCTTAACCCTATTAGTGGCAGGCTCCTGGCTACCCCTATTAGTGGCAGGGGGGGGGCTGTTTACGACCCCCCCTTGATATCTCGAGATCTAACGGGCCGATTTTCAAAATTCAAACGGCATTCGACTTCGCTCAACGTGATCTACATTTCTAAAAAAAAAAATTAAGAAAATGTCAAAAGGGGGGTTGAGGGGGGTAAAAACGGGCAAATTGCAGATACATTTTAGACTGCTTATCACGGCCAGGTTTCTCAACCAATCTTAACGCAACTTTTGCCGATCGATAAAGAATGAACCAGGAATTCACATGGATCCTAAAAATATGCATTTTCAAAAATCATAGGCGGATACAGATCATTGAGATTGGGGGTACACAAAAAGTATAGCAAATAAGGTTTTTGTTGGTACTGTTTCTAAAAAGGGTGGTAATGGTCTTGTTATGTTACAATTTTCTTATGAGAGAACGACTACAATTGTATTGGTCATGCATAGGCGGTGTCAGGGCACCTATGTTGGGAGGTAAAACATAACCCCCCTTTTTGGACGCCTGGATCCGCCTATTATAGCAAAAACGTGTCAAAAGAGGATGCACAATAACTTTGTATATGTTATCACATGATAAAACTGGTGCATACAGTTATAATACATCAGCATCGTGATCATCGCCCAAATGACTCGCTTCACGAATAGGACCCCCCAATTCCCAGTGCTCTGGAGCCGCCCTTGGTAAAGTTATGAACTTGAAATTTTCAGGGAATGTGCCCAATTTAGTTTTAGGAAAAGTCAGAAAATTTCAGCATCGTAGCTTCAGCGGTTTCGGAGATATTCCCGAAAAACCTGAGGGGTGGATGAAAACAACCCCCCCTGCCACTAATAGGGTTAAAATTGAAACGGGAGGGTGGGCACGCTTGCCCGCAGATGAGAGGCTTTGTATGTGTGGCGCGATTCAGACAGAGAGGCATGTGTTGTTGCTTTTAGGGACAGTTTCCCCAACCTGAATTTTAGGGATTTAGAAGCGCTAATGGAGGGAAGCGTTTTAGATTTAGCAAGATTTTGTCACATGGTTTTAGATCGGTTCGAGTGTTTTGATCGATGACGCTTTGTTTAATGTGTTATGTTCTAAGCAACCTTTTAGTACATATGTAGGGGAGAGTGGGGTAATTTGGCCGGTGGTGTAAATTGGCCGCCCCCACCTGTACGATGTCTAATAAAAGTGAGTGAAATAACTCTAGTCTCCATTCATTTGTCATGGGTAGAAATAACTGGAGGACAAATGTCAAAACTTTGCCCCTCGTAGTTTTATTCAAAATTAATAAAACGTTAATTTCATTAGAAAATGGTAACTTTTACTTCTGTTTATAAAGTTGTATAACATGTAGTATTTGGGCTAAAAACGAATTCAGACATTATAGCGCCATTCTTGGGGGTGTTCAGCGGTTCCAAGAGCAATTTTATCTAATTCTGTAAAGCCGCGATGACTTTATAGACAAAAAATTTCAGAATGGCAATATGGGGTAAATTGGCCGGGACTAGCGGGGCAACTTGGCTGGTGCGCTCATGGTCACTATGCTGGGACGGCCGAGTTTTCATGGTCAATTGTACCATAAATGACATGATTTATGACCAACTTTGACTACTTTGATGCCTTACTTCCGATTGGTCAACTGTAAGAGCATGTGACGTCATCAAAGGTTACCAAACGTTTTTTTGCTAATAAATCCTTACATAAAAATGGTACAGCCGCACAAATGGTCTCATTCTGTTCAGCTCGCCAAGGCGCATCGAATGATATGCATGATGACCTTGAAATCACGTGACCTTGAGGTCAAGCGACCTGATGCAACGTGACCTGAGGTCAACCTTTGACCTTGACTTCTCAAGGTCAACATATATATCTTTCGATGCGGACTGACGAGAGAATTACGATGGTACTCGAAGTTTTGGCCTAGCTTGATTACTTCAAAAGTTATTCGTAAAAAACTGTGATCGCATCTAGAGCCGCTAATTTGGCTATTTTGACCCCTGTGACCCCTGAGCCAACCTCCAAAATGCGGCAAATGCGTCATAGGACACACGTCATTGCTGAATCTGAAGCTGACTCGCAATATAACAGAAAATCCCGACCGCAAACTAACACCGGCCAAATTGCCCCACACCCCCGGCCAAATAACCCTGCTAGTGGGGCAATTTGGCCGCCTTGCAGACCTTTGTAATACGTCACAATTTCAATATAAGCAATTACTCTATCATTTCAAGTTCTCTGTCCAGTAAAGTAAAATGAATGCGACACCTGCCAGCGTTAAGAAAATGCAGAAATGTGTCGTCAATTTTAAGTTATATCGTTTTCTAAAAAAAGCGGCCAAATTACCCCACTCTCCCCTACATATAGAAGTCTATGTCATGTGTTTTGGTGGACACGCCTGTCATCTGAGTTTTATCCATATTCATTGTATGTATAATGTTTTTATCGAGTGTCAATAAACTAACTAACTGTACTCACATGACATTATACACTATTGCAGAAAATAATATTTCCTAAAAACGACTTATATCCAGGCTACAAAAATGTGTTGAACGTTTCTCAATCATGTAATATTTAGCCGAAGTGGCAGGAGTGGAGGTAGGAGTGGCATGAGTGGAGGAGTGGAGGGAACTTTCCGGATCTGTCCTCCTCTTGAACGAAGAGCCACAAAGAGACGGAAAGGCGGCAATCGTTGGCGCGTATATTATTATTCACTTGTACCTACTTTCTATTTGAGGAAATAATGGAACCAGTTGTGACATTCGTCATTTGCCTTGGCTTTTATATTAAAAGGATACTTCGAGAAGAAGCCATACACTATACAGTATACAATATACATACCCGAGCCACAGCAGCCAAGGGATTCGTAATCGCATTTAGGTAATATGTTTTTTTAACAGAGATTTAACGACATTGAATGGGAACACGGTGATACCTATTGGTTTCATTTGCCATACGTCAGATCTCAGACCCGTCAATCTACCGCTTCTTTCTGTCTGGCTGGCTTCATGATGCTATTGCTCATGCTATCAACGAATTATGTGGCGTGACGGCACACTAAACCGTGCGGAAAATCGCCCCCTCCCCTCGACATGAGAAACTATCCGAGCGAGACCAATCGCCAGGACCTCTGCGCGCGCCGAGTGCATCCGCGACCCACAGTGAGACCGCGCGTCCCGCGGCACTCGCCGGCAGGCCCCATGGCGCCTGTCCAGCACGCTGGTCGGCCCGCACGCCGCCACTCTGTCCTTACCGTGATCGCTCGATCGATCGCTGCCGGGCGTCCCACGACTGGGCCGCCGCGCCGGCTACCACGCTGCCGGCGAGCGCATGGCACCGCGGCGCCCCAGCTCACGAGAGAGCTCCGCCTGCCGAACCGTCATCCCACTGCACAGACACACACCGCCGCGGGGCACACTCTCGGCGCGTCACAGAGCCCCGGGGCCGCACATCGACCCTGCGTCGTCTCTCCGCCGCGCGTCGGCACCGACCATGTGTCGGCGCTGCAGCCGGTCGGCCGACACAGACCGCCCGTCGGCCGACGACGCATGCGCCCACCGATCGGGAGCGGCCGGTGGCTGCCGGTGGCACCGGGGGGGGGGGGGGGGGATCGCCCCGGGGACCGTCGACCCGTCCGTCAGAGCGTGCCGGGCGGGCCGAGTCGGCGCCGCTGTTGTCGGCCGTGAGTATCGACTAGCGTCGATGGTGGTCGTGAGCCGGGCGCGCTGGTGCACCGTAACAGACAGCGGGCCGCGGCGTGGGAGGCGCGGGCTCGATACCGGGGCCGGGGTGAACGGGGGAGGGTGGACTGAAGATGGATCGAATCCTCCGTGGATTGGTGGAGGGCATCCTTGCAGCGTTTAACCATGCATGGGCATCGCTGATATGGCCTGGACAATATCATGTTGATGCCCTCACTGTGGACTCAGTGTGGAGTGCTGCCTGGAGGGAACCGCCGCACCGACCTCTGGAAGGGAGGAGGGAGGGGGGAGCAGAGGTGACTGGCATGGGTCGGCACAGAAGTAGCAAGCCGCACGCGATGGACAGCAGCGATTCTTCTTGCTGTCGAGCAAAATGAGCTCCTAGCAACGGGCGAACTCGGCACTTCTTGAGGAATTTAAAATGGGAAATATGGCTCTTTGTTCGAACGAATCCTTAGTGCATGATTTATATAAGGTCATAAAATAATTCCGATTGCCAATTTAAGATTCGTTACTGAGCAGTCAACAATTCATCTTCTTATTATTTTAATATGACTGAATATATGTATGAGTGGCCATTGTTCCTAATCCGGAATTCGGTAACTTATTTGCGATAATAAAAACGAAGTGCTTTAGCAAGGTGCTTAGCCAGCTACAACATTTGTACCTATATTTAGCTATGATGGCACCCAAATATCTACTAATCTGATGTGCATTGTGAGTGCAGCTCTCGCGAGCGGGAATAGACTATAAATCCGTTTTTGCGGCGTTATTTCTCCGTCCGTCCATTTTCGAATGGGTAGGCTGTGCCGCAGCACAGTAGTGTTTTGCGGTGCAGTATATCGTCTACCAACGCCAGTGATTCATACGAGACCGCACCGCACCGCGGACGACGAATGTTACCGAGCAACCGAGGTGACCCTGTGGTCGTGAATAACTGGGCTTGACGAAACTGGTGGAAACTGACTGGCTGACCACCGAGAACTGGTACCGTAAAGTGGGGCTATTTGAGACAGTATTTAAAATCGCTATAAAATGAAGATCGTTTGATTTTTGTGTGATATTTTTGCTCAGGGAGGTGTGGAATCGAGCAGTAAATCGCCTGAGCAAAAAAGTAAGCATAAATTTTAAGTGGTTTTTATTTTATAGCAATTTTAAATACTGTCTCAAATAGCCCCACTGTCTCAAATAGCCCCACCTTACGGTACGCGCTCGCCAGCCGATGTTTGTCGTTCTATGCACATTGCTCTCGGCGTTACGGTTTGTTTGACCGTGGCCGCCCGTCTGGTAAGAGGGCCATCGTGTTACGCTGCTGCTGCGTGGGGTTAGTCAGTGCCACTGGCACAGGTCCCACACGGCCCCAGAGCGACTTCACAGATTGAACAGTGCCAATTTCATCGCATTAGATCATGGCGAAACGGTTCGAAGAATTGACGTAACACATCCAACATAATTTTAATGTAGCATAACTTTGAGCATGCACTGAGCTCTAAGCTGAAGCAAAAGGTGGAATGCGTGTACAGCCCTCAGCAGACTGCGTGGTAGGTATTCTTTTTTCGACAAAACCGATAATAACTCAAAGGTTATGCTATCACTTCGGAACTCACTGCAAATAGATGCGCAATGCTCCACTCCTTCGATTGGGTCTATCACTTGACAACTGCGTAGGTACGCCTGTGAGGCGACAAAATGCAAAAGTTTGTTTTGGGGGCAGATATAAACTTTTGAGTTTTGTTGCCAAACTGGATGGAAAATGAATACGATGAATTTGCCAATCTAAAGTGCGGAGTCTCAAACGTCTTGCTGTTATGATTTCCGAGTGACCGATAGCATAGTATTCGCGTTATTCTCGGTTTTGTCGGAAAAAGAATACCTACCTTATACCTACCACGCAGTTTGCAGAGGGCTCTACATAGATTTTCAATCTGTGCTAGATTTTTTTAAAAAGCTATATGTGAGTGACTATGGCTATGCCTTTAGTGTTTTCATTTTTTCTAATTAACTAACTATTCCCTTATCTTGATGTGGTTCAGGTGATTTGATTTAGGTGTAGAGCGGGGAAGCAAATCAGATGCAAATCAGATACAAAACGCTATAACGTCTCGGGCAGCACACGTGGTCACCAGGCCTCCGGTAAATCTGTTGGCAGAAGTGGTAATCCTCCGCACTGCGAATTCCTTTGGTTTCGCTTTACCAAGTTATCCGGTCTAACGTTCCCCGCAAATAAATAAGCATGTCAACATTTTTGTGTTTCAATTTGTCAACGACCTCCAGTAGTTCATATGGCTCGGCAATAGCTCAATTTTCCAATTCTTCTTTGTCCAAGATATTATAAAGAATGCGTTGACATGGGGCATAAGCCCCCGAGGCAATGCCCCTTAATTACTTTGGTTGACGATATAAAAACTGGAAAAACGAATCTCGTTTATTACACTCATCGATGTCTGAACACATCATGGTCTCATCTCTCCATTGCACCAAATGCGATACAGCATCTAGCCTGCTCTCTCCGCAACATTTTGAATAAATAACTAGTCTGTACGGATCAGTTAGTTGTTAGTCCATATGCAAAACCCCCCAATTGTACACACATCCTGGATGGTCGCTCTTCTAAATAAACCTACTGGCAATGCTCGATTTCTCGTCACATGACAGCACAGCCCCAATGAGTAAATAGTTGCATACCCTGAGTTGACATTCATCAGGTGAAATGTAATAAATACACGAATGGCATTTCACCATCAATACTTTAAATACTGAACAACTCAACACTCATCAACAAAGGTCAAGAACAGTGTCTTGGTGCAAGCACACAGGCTCCCTAAGACACTGCGAACGTCAAACGCACGTCTTCACTCCTATCGGCACGCCGTTCTCATCAATGAGCAATGTCCGATGCTGATCAGATCTCTGAACACGGCCGACTATCGGCACACGAGTCGCGTCCAGAACATCCATCGATAATGCCCCCCGAACAGTCGCCGCACGATTCATGAAAGCGCTGGACTCCGTCTGACGTCAGATGCTGTCATGGAGTTTCAGTGCAGCAGTTGAGCAATGCTCATGAAAATAATGGTCGACACGATACTCTAATATTTTACTCATTAGATCGTTCTTTAACTGAGCTGTTCGCCACAGCAGGTGATCACAACACGGCCTTCTTTAGTGGCCAGCCGTCCTTTTTGGTACCGTCGCCAGTCATGCCGGCGTCCTTTTTGCCTTGTCCCTTTTCCGCAGCGCCCGCCTCGGAGTAGGCCAGGCCCAAATTGTTCTCGTACATAGCGAGAGGCTCGTTCCACTTCTGCTGCTTGGCGGTGCCGAACACGCAGAACACCGTGTTCCCGAACACGAAGAACCCGGCGGCAGTCATGAACACTGTGCGCCAGTTCTCTAGAGTGGGCTGCCGGCAGAAAACGTCATCTAGTCAGCCCCGGGGGAGTGCGTTTAGAGTGCGGACAGCGAATCAAAAATCATGTAACACAACCGAACACAAAGTAACGGTTTACAGATGGCGCATCCTAGATGTTTCGCTGTCCCTATATGGCTACCCACTATCATATCGTCACGCTAAGCTATGACTTGAGCTCAAGAGTTAAGACATCACACTTCAATTTTCATTGGCATCGTTTGTAGATGAGCACATGCGCATATCTTCCGTTACAACAGCAAGGTAATGCAAATTTAAGGATGATGACCCTTTGCTGATGGCGCAAGGATCAATTTAAGATAACGGTCGGCGCACAGATGGCCTGGTATGAGGTCACGTTTGATGGATGAAGCGAAGTAAGAGTAAAATGTAGTAGAACTAAGAACACCAAAGGATCTAAATATTTCAGGATAGCGAGTAGTTGTAGCAATATCACTGCAAAAAGCGCAATTGAAAGGAAGCGGGGACTGGGGCATTTGAAGTGAGACATCTATACTTTTGAGAAGCATCCGGAAATTTACGAAGTGAAGCTCTTAAAAAGTTAACGCTGATTTGATCCAATCTTGTGTGCAACTAAAGTACATAAAACTTTTCGTGCAAGTCCATTCAGCAAACGAACTTTGTGTTTAACGAAATCGCTGCATATAGTACGCAACTTCGGCAATAAAACCACCGAACACTGAAATGTTGCGGGCCATTTTTCGACGCACTTTAGTGACGACGCCACTGCTGGCACGCGTTCGCTGTAATGCGTCAGTTCTGATTGCGCGGTGGGGTGTTACGCGCGCGCCCCGGGAACTCACGTGTCCGTTGATGACGTAGCCGGTGGCGAACGGCGCCAGGACGCCGGCCAGGGTGGCCACGCAGTTGGTCAGGCCCATCAGTGTGCCGGCGAAATTCGGAGCCAGGTCCATGTGGTTAATGTTGTATCCTGTGAACGGCGAGATGTGGGGTGGGTGTCAGATGAGAGGGAGAGAGAAGAGAGAGAGAGAGAGAGAGAGAGAGAGAGAGAGAGAGAGAGAGAGAGAGAGAGAGAGAGAGAGGAGAAAGAAAATAAGAAATTAAAAAAGATGAAACAAAGAGAGGGATAGACTTATTGGGCAGAGTGGTAAAGGGAAAAGGATAAGTGGAAAATATTTGGAGAAAGAGAGGATGAGTAAATAACAACGGAACCCTGACACTGCAAACAAAGAAAGGCTTTTAAGATTATGTCCGTGCACGTCGCGGAATTCGGATCGTCTCTTTTATTGACGGCTGCAAATTGATCCCGGCCCGTCGGCGATTGGTTCTCTCCACCCCCTCACCCCCCCCCCCCCCCCCTCCTACCCCGTCACACGCCGGCAGGCGGCCCGCTCCGCCAGACAGTGGACTACACACTAATGAAATCAATCGGCGGACCCCTTGAGTCGCTGCTCTATCGAACCGGGAGCCGGCGCCAGGAGTGCCGCCGCTTGGCGCGCCAAAAGCTGCGCCAGCTGTCGGCCCGTCAGCTGCCGGGCCATCAGCTGCCGAACCGTCAGCTGCCGGACTGCCAGCCGCCGAACCGTCAGCTTCGTTTGCCACCGGGTCTGCGGCGTCCGTGATGTTCAGTTTACATCAGAACTAGCACCTCAGCCGTTAAATCCTGACTTCCGCTGTTGTCGAACCTTACGTTCTCGGCATCGAGTGCCAATACCGACATCCTCGACTGTCGAGCTCTGACACACCGACACTGAGATAGTCGCCTCAGAGCCGGCTTCCCCAAACCCGGCAACCTACGTCGCTACTTGGATCGGCCCGGCTAGATATCGGCGGGCTGTGTAGGCCGGGACGGTGGAAATTACCGGGCGGGTGGCGATCCGCGCTGCAGCTGAGCCTGACAGACAGCCTGTTTACCGTCTGCCTCAGAGAGGAGGCTCGGAGACAATCACAGGCCCGCTCCCTATTGGCTGCACCAGATGTGGGCCAGCGCTAACTGGCTGGACGTGTAGCGATTTACATATGTTTGCTAGCGGTAATAGTATGCAGCATAACAATAGATCGGCTGCATCATAGATTAAATTATAATTGCTGGAATGTATTTCGACCAGAAAGTTGACATAATGTGAGGAAGTTCTAAAAGTACAAGGGTAAGGTATTTTCACCAATTAAAAATGATGACTATATAGAAGTACGCTCCAAGAAACATTCAAAGCTATCAAGCGAAGCTTCTTTTTAGCATGGAAAACTGGAAGGATGGACTTCTGCCAGGTTTCGAATACACGGGGGCTCGGTTGATGATATCATTATGATGATGTTGCTGAATATAGGCAGATAGCGATACTGCTAGAAAATATGCAACATGCCTATGAACATAGGCATGCTGCATGTTTTCTAGCAGTATCGCTGTCTGTCTATATATGCTGCCATGCTTCGAATCCTGATAAATGCCTCTGCATTTATCGCAAGTTTAACTTCCAGAAGAATATCTCCAATGTCCGGATAACTAAGAAGATCTGCACAAGAAACGTTGTATGAAGACCATCAGCGATCTTGCGAGCTGTATTTCATGCTTCACTTTAATTGCGCCTTCCCCATCTCTTCATGCATGCTCCAAGAATGCAATATCCGCAACAAAACACACATTATGAGTTTGATATTTAATTCACATTTTACGATTAGGTACGCCGCTCTGCGAAAGCCAAAGACCTGCCGCAAATCACTCATTTCTTTTAAACTGAAGCCGTTTACTCTGACGCTCATGTTCGATCGGTCTCTGTTTCATGCCTCTTGAACGGCATCAGCATCGAAGTTGACCGAGAGCAATAATTGCATCATTCAATGCCTGCTCAACATTCCGGAACTGACAATCCAATTTCCCTAGCTTATTTTGTACTTGCCGAATATCGCTGGGATAAACAGCGCATGGCGGAGGTGGACAACACGGTTTTCGGCATGGTGGTGGACAAGGAGGTATGCTTGGTTTGCAACAAGGCTTGCAGCATTTAGGTGGCGGCCGGCAGTAAGGCTTGCGAGGAGGTGGACACACAGGACGTTTTGGTGGTTCGCGAGTCACTACGGACTTCTCCACTTCGTATTTTTGACCACAGCATATTTCATATGTTTTGGTGTACTCTTCCCTTACTAAGTCTCCGGTGCATGGGTCGATATACTTATTACACCATTTTTCATCTTCGGGACATTTGCGACGACAAGTTTCCTTGGAGTCATAAAACATTGATGGCCTTTTGTTGCAGATTTTGTGTCTAGCAGTTTCTTCAATTCGAAGCGTTCTTGGCATACCACGATAGCCACAAAGATTTACATCGGTGTCGTTGTGTCAATTAACTTCAAATTTTATATAACTTAAGCATTTTTGCAAAATTTCGCCAAATTCGACAACGTCAAACACAAAAATTGACTGGAAATTGATACTTGATTTATTGCGAAAGACACGCTCGGGCCAATGATTCGGCATTACCTCCGGCCATGTTTGATTCGCCTTATTACTGGTATTTGCCTGTGTCTGGTAACTTCGGTGCGTCGTGCAGCGGAATTTTTTACCTATTCATTAGCTTCACTGTGGATTCTATGATTTATGAACAGCTCGAGACGCGAAGCTATCTATGCATAGGAATGAAGTTCATGTGTATTGCTTTCTCCTTCTACCGAGAGTGCTTTTGGGTGCTTTCCGTTTAAGCCTTCAATAGTTTTTATTTGTATTTTCTTTGCCTCTCTAATCATCGATGTACCCTGCGCTCCCGTGCAGGTACTCACCTGAGAAAATGGCTCCGTTGAATCCGACAGTGCCGACCATCAAGGAGATAACGGCTATGTCGTGACATCCGGTGTACGAAACACCGACCATCATAAGCGCCGGGATATACATGCCTGTAGACATAAATAACACGGTAATTATCTTAACAAATTCGGCCATTAACGTGCTTTATCTAGTCTGGCTGAGCCCTGACTCAGGGCCTTTTTATCTTGGCTACGTTTTTTGTCGAAAATAACACACATGCAATATCATCATGTGGCTCCTCACAACCTATTCACATTATTAACGTGTATACAACCAAATCATTTCCAACCAACTTCTCACAAACTTCTCGAAAGGTTCCAGAGATCGGTGAAATGTCTGGCTGCAGTTTGACAAAAGCCCGTTTACTCCACGCGTCTGGTTCAGGCAGAAGCTTCGTTCCGTTCGTTTACAGCCCCGGCTACGGAACTGCTCTGTGATGGCTGGCCCACTCGGCTCCGCCCCGCTCTGTTTGCCCTCAGGCCGAAACTTGGCCGCCTGAACAAACCAACAGTCGCGAGGCGCGTGACTGTGCCATTCCAGCGGTGTGTGAACAGCGGGGGCAGCCGACCTGCACCAGACATGCCAAGGAAAACGTTCCTCGCTACAGCAAGGATTTAAAAGATAAAAGTGCAAATTTTGACCATTTTCATAGAGTTCCGCATGTAAGGGCAAGCAAATACATGTAAATACATGCAAATTTCAACGCATTAGTGCGCGATGAGCGTAAGCGTTCTACATTCGTTGCAGTTCGATCTCGCCCATGAATTGTTAATATACAGGACTGGTTTAGATATTTTATCGTCAACTCACCGACTGAGTTCCACAGTTTCCTGTTGGCCGATAGGCCCAGTCCGCTGTTAACCAGGCCGTCGGACATGAACGACACGGTGAGCGCAAACACCACCTTCACCAGCTGCGGGATCGCCGAATAGAACGCGTTCTGCAAACAGGAGGACGATACCGCTGTTATGGCGGACAACGATCGGGAGCTGGAACGGGGCGACTGCGCTGGACAGATGAAGGATTGATGTGTTGGCAACAGTGTAAAATTTATTTAGCAACTTTAAACTCAAGCGGTGCCTTCGTTTCTTTTTACTATAATATGTAGTGTCCCTTTCATCTTGGAGTTTTCAGTTTAACATTGCGGGTATCATGTGCTATTCGAATTCAATTTTGGCGAGCATCGACCATTAGCCATAAATTGCTTCCATGTCAGTAGGCCAACTGTTCCGATGTCTTTAATGGATTCAGAGAAACCAATGTTCTGCAAAGCTACTACCGAACGGCTGCTTATTCTGAAGTTATGGAAACTAAACGACAATCGAGCTCCTTGTTCACATCGAATCGTGATGACGAGTACAGCGTGCGTGGATCATTAATCGGGTACGCACCTATACAATCCCGGTTGCAGAAAAAAATGATACGATTTGATACGATACGAAATGATAAGACCGTCTCTATACAATCACGTATAGCTGCGAGTTAGAGTACGTTATGTATTAAATGCTTGTTTACAATTAAACACCTAATAATTGTGTCGGTGACCGGCTGATACTGTGCTCCATTCCTTACCATGCTGAGCGGGTAGTGCAGCACGGTTCGTATGTACGTGGGCAGCTCCGTCATGATCATGTAGTCGCCCCAGTTTTGGCAGAAGTGCACCACAATCAGAGCGTAGAGAGGTCGCGACATCAGCGCCTGTTTCCACGGGAAACCCACCGGCTTCTCCTGAAATCGAAGATGACGGTCAGCTGAGGCTTAGGCGGGTGTCAACTTAGAAGTCATTTAATGTCATTGTAAACACGTTATCTGTAAGACCTTGAGTCAGCACGGGACTTATCGTCTCCATTACCGATAAAAAGGGACTGAGAGTCGGAGCGGGACTGGCCGACTGACCGAGTCGGCGGGCACGGCGTGCGGCTTGAAGTAGGTGTCGATGTAGAGTCGCTCCCTGGCCGAGATGCGCGGGTGTTGCGCCGGCGTGTCGTAGATGAGGAACAGCCAGCACATGTACCACAGCACGCCCACGCCGCCCGTCACGTAGAAGATGGACTGCCAGCCGCCGGCCCAGCGCCAGCCGGCCAGCGGACCCGACGCCAGAATCGTCATCGCCGTGCCCAGCTGCTTGCCTGAGGACGGACGCCACATTGGTCAGAAGATGACGGTCAGCAAAGTGTTCCCTCTATAGGTAGTGCTCTATAGACACCTACAACACTTGTACATTCAGCACTTTCAAATATCTCTTATTTATGTTCAGAGATCGGCTGCAACCATGGCTCCACCCAATCCACCTTTCAAACGCTGCAAAGTGCACAGATATGTACAACCATGACTTGACCCATTTGTCGCAATGTTGGCTGTTCTTACCGATATACACGAAGGTGCTGATTCGACTTCTCTCTGGGGGCGGCACCCAGCGGGACAGCATGAAGTGGATGGCCGGGCACGTCACTCCCTGTGAAAAAACAACCAGGTGCTCAGGTCAGGTGCTGAGGCCAGCACAGACTCAGCACATTCATGGAGACCCATGTGCGACTCGATATGCAGAATAGGTAGCAAAAAAGAAGGCCAATATCAGTGCATTCCAACAACCGACAGCACAGGCGGAAATGCGAATAGTTATTACGCATATTAGAGTTGACGTCTTTCTGTATCAGCCACTTCAATATTAGCCGTAAAATCTAGTCTAGAACATTGCTAATGCGTTTCTGATGTGACGATGCATGACAGAGTGTTTTTCCATAAATACGGCCAGACTAATATCATCACTTGCCAATGACGCATACAACCTGGTTTTGTACTTTGCGCGTCATATAGGGGTATTCTACGTCACTGCACATGCAGGCGGCCTGCGACCTCCACCCGGGAGATTCCACACGTCAGACCAGTGAGACAAAGTCCAGAGCACGACGGTTATCCCAGTGCAGTGGCCCCGCGGGCGCAGACGAGCGATTAAATGTCGTCAGGAATTGCACTACGCGGAAATAGGAGCGATTAATGTCTGCGGCGGCACCGAATGTATACGTCTCGAACGTATACTACACACATTGAGCGCGACTGCGAGATAGGACAGACGTCCACATGTGGGGCGTGCAATAACACTTATGCGACGCAACGTTTAAAGTGAAATGCTATGTAAATAAATGGTGCGTCGAATACGTGACCTCCTAAGTTAACCATGACAATGTAGCAGAGCGCTCGAAACCAGAGACGGTGCCTTGGAGGCCACGATTCTGTACTTCGTAGGCACGCTTTTGTATGCTTGGTTTTCAAAATGGCAATTGGATATTTAGACATCAGTAGCGGCGGAGCACCTTTAATTAAGGGGGGAGGAGGCACTGCCGACTTTTGGTCCCATTCTTTCCATGCAACGCCCATAGAGCTAATGTTAAAATGCCAAAATCAAAGGGGGGTACGGTGCCCCGGTGCCCCTCCCCCCGCGTTCCGCCGCTTATGTTAGACATCGAAGCTGATTCAAAGCGTTTCACGACGACTGAGAATCACGCGAATGTCCCAGGTCCGCTATCCACAAGGGCTTCTTTCTACCATGGTGGGTCTGTGTTTACGCTTGTCATTTATCAAAACAAGCAATGCAGTCGTCATACGGACTTGGCTCTGCGGGGGGCTGGCTGCACGTTGAGCTCTCTCACACGTCCTATTGGGAATGTAACCAACGCCATAAAAGCTTACGCTGGGTTCTGGGGATGATAATCGTTCCACAGGAATTCGAAATGTTGAGCAGCATTGTTTGGAGAGCTGGCTTTGACATGGTACATGGACAGCGAGTGTTCAGTATTCATTGGTTAAATAAGCGTTCCCTTTGCCCGCGCTGTTGCTATGACCTCGCTCGCCACTGACGCATGCCAATGCGTCGTGTCGTGGGGCGGCTGTTATCACTCACGCTGGCCACACCCTGCAGGGCGCGGATGAAGATGAGCGCCTCGACCCTCCAGTGGGTGCAGACGGGCGTCAGCAGGTTCAGCAGCGCCGTCAGGAAGATGCCGCCGCCGAAGGTGCGCGCGGCGCCCACCCGCTCGGCCAGCCGGCCGCCCGGGATCTGCGACACCGTGTAGCCGACAAAGTAGGAGCTCAAGATGACACCCTGCATCATCTCGGTCCACACAAACGGCCCGTCCTGTAGAGGGAGAAGGGAGGAGTGGTACGTCAGAATTGACGTTAACGAGACAGCTGAAGTTGGATGCAAAATGTCAGCGGTTTGTTTACAGCAAAGCTTATGAAAAAAATAGCGGTATCTGAAAAGAAAATTCGCCGCTTTGGAAATGTAACGCTTCAAACATACATGGCACATCTTAGTCACAAGTGCTCGTTCATGAAATGCCACCGTAATCCGGGCACCACACCCACCTCAGTGATGACGACCTCCTCTTTGGGCGCCGCCTTGCCCTGGTGGCAGATGTCCACGTCTGGCGGCGGCGCCGAGGCGTTGGGCCCGCCCGGGTGCTGGTGCGACAGCTCGGCTAGCGCCGTGTGGTTCACCATCGCCACTATGGCCATCGACATGTTGACGCGCAGGGAGAAGGAGACGAAGAAGCCGAGACAGCCGAGCACGGCCAGCGAGTGACGTGCGCCCCAGCCTGCGGTCAACAGGGCACGGCCATACAGCGTCAGCTCACAGAGAGGCAGGGGCCAGCCTACCAGCATGACGTTTGCAGCTATTTCATAACAATGCAGTCAATTGAAGGGGAGCAACAAAATTAACTATTTGCAAAATGCTATTTAATAATTAATAATGAATAATTCTCATTGTAGTAAACCGTAAACTAAGAAAGCAAGAAAACGCTTATTTACCTACATTGACCAAAAAGCGAGCATTAGCACAGCTTCAGTAGTTCCGGCTTTTGCCGCTCTTGCCTTCAGCTGCATCGAGCTTCACGTAAAATTTGTTTGTACGGTAGTGCCTTCCAAAGTAAATGTTCAAAAATATGCTTGCCTCCATAGAATTATTATTCACCAACGAAATTCAACGTCTTAGAATCATTCAGTGGTAACATTAACTAGGAAAATGTTATGAATTGAATAAGAATTAAGTCCGTAAATAACACAAATTTTCTGGAATCTGGACCATACCGCTTTTCTAATTCACTCATTCTATCAGACTGTATGACTGTTACCATTCACTGCAATCCTTGCATTAATTTTGCCTCGCAAGCCAGCGCGTTGTTACCGGACATGCCAATAATTCAACGTTCGGCTTTATCAAGAAAGCGATGCAGTCTGACATCATGTTAATTGTTTCTGTAATTCAGAGTGGATATAATTTTCAGCGAAATGCATCGATATTTCCAGTAAACATCCTGGAACACCTGGCGGTGCGTGATGACCGGAGTTTCCCCGTCAGTTCCCCTCCAAGTCCGATGGGCGGACGGCCGCTGACGGTCGGCCGGCCGGCTGACTGGGAGGTAGGCTGTGCCGCAGCACACGTTCTGCCCCGGGCGCATGGACAGAGCGGCGGAGGGTGAGGGGCAGCGATCGGTGCGGGACAGGCGCCGAGGAACGACAGGGCTAGGGCAGTGTGCAGTTGCTGAGGTAAGTACTGTGACTGTCCGCTGCCTCCTTTAGCCGCAATATCCTGATTTTGATACGGGTAACATTTTGATAGATTTATCACGTCATAAATGCGTTTTGTTCGCGCTTTATTTTATGCATGCTACTCAGCACCTAATGTATTTATGGAGAGGCAATGTCTCACATTCTTTTATATAGTCTAGCTAGTTTATATGAATGAAAGCAAAGGACTCAGCATAACTACTTTTCCTGTCAAACCCAACTATGTGTGAATTCACTCTCGTCGAATTGTGTTCAGGTGAGTGTCGTTTTATGCTTCCATTAGACGTTTTTACGCACTGTTTTGCTGTAATATGCCAGTTGTGAATCCACCTGTTGCGGATGCATTATTTATGAATACCTTTCATTCACAACAGTCATTGAATGCACCGCACAAGGATTCTCCCTATATGACGCGTAGTTATTAATCGCCGGTTGCGATGCGATATCTACAAATATCTCACCATTAGGTCGCTTGACGTCCATCCGTTTGCCGTCCACCAGGGCGCCATAGTAGGGATGGTTCTCGTCCAGAAGACACCGCTCGTTCTCATCCCCCGAGCTGGAGCTGCAAGAACAGAGACAGCGTGTGAGTGGTGCACGGAGGGCGGGAATCCCGGGACAGACGCGGTCATCTTTTCACTGCCGTCAATATCGACTGTCCGGAATGTTGATAAGCATGTATGGATTATTGGATTGAAATTATGTCGGATGGATTAAAATTATGTCAGTAACTGACTGTCACTACTTGGTAATTGTTCAGCAAATTAGTGTTTCTGGCTTGAAAAGTATTTGTTATTACTCATGGTCTGCTCCTGTTCTAGCACTTGAGGCAGCCATCAATTCAATTCAATTAATATTGCCGCAATTCATCAACAATGATTCTTAGTTGCTGCCCATCTATCTCTCAAGTCTACTAATTACCAGCAGATGTTAATAAAACATAAAAGCCATCAACCGTTTTACAAATTTGATTTAAAAGATTGTCGCGCCTCATGATGTCCATTTTATCATGTTTAATAATGGATGCCTAAGGCTGTTGGCAGGTGATGTCGATGACTGAAGAATGATGGTGAAAAAGTTTATTAATTTCATTGTCATTGAAACAGGAAAATGCATAAATATCGGCATGCATATTACATGTCTAGTCCGTGAATTTTACCCGGGCTATTTGTTTCAGGCTTTTGAGCCCTTGATAGTTTCTAATCGCAATAATGGCACAACTGCAATATTGTGTTTTAAACAAAAGTCTAACGTTTTTTGTGAGCAATTAATCCATTTCCATGAAGAATACGAAACAGAATTGCTATGAGCAAACGAAGAGTAAAAAAAGCAATGATATGGGTTCTAAACATAGAGTAAAAGGGGACGAGAAAGACTTGTATGAGACGGTGCGACCGTCTATGCCCACTGTCATTTCATATATTGTGTTTCTCCCGTTGCGTGCTCCTCATGTAGGTATGTACCAATTTTTGTTTGGTTTAAACGGACCCAATCAATGGTTATTTGTGAAAAGTACAGACCGTTTTGACGGTCACCTGGGGGAAACTACGGCTCGTTGTCGTGAAATACGATTGGTTAGGTATGCCTGGCTATCACCGGAGTCCGGACCATTCAGTAGCCCGTCAGCTTCTCCGCGGCAAAGGGCCCAAGTGGCAAAAGTTAGACTGTTATTTTGAAGCGAAACAATTTGACAAAAAAATAGGTAGAAGCTATGAGCGATACGTATGCACTGTCTATTGAGTGCATCTTTTATGTCTGATGCCGGGTTGATTTAATTAAATGTAGCATATACGAACATCAGAATATAATTATGAGAGCAAGTAGCAACTATTCAACGATCAAATAAAAATGAACAGCGACTAATAATGAAAGGTGATGTGGGCATCCATCACTGCTCTGCTCACCTGTCCTTGCTCAGCAGCCACACCATGGCTGCGACTGTGTCTGAGCAGCGGCCGCGCTCAGTCTCGGCAGGCACCGGCTCCGTGCGAGCTCCGCCAGTCACTGGGACGAGTGCACGCCTGGGCTCAGCTCGCGCCGCGCGCGCTACACTCGCCTCCGTCTGGCGGCCGGACTAGTCAGCTGGCCGGTGGCCGGCCGCCTATATACCGCCGCCGGCACCGGACATCCTCTGTTTAGAGACACGTCTGTGTCGCCTGCCCCGTGACGGGTGCGCGGCTGACCCATGCCCGGCCCAGCCCGGCCCGGCGACGGTGCCGATCCAGGCCCATCCAGCCGGCGCCGGACCGCCCGGTGGCCCTGCAGACGCCGCGCGGGGGCCGGTGTGGAGTCGGTTGGTAGATTTCCATACTCCGTTCGTGGAACATGTCACGGGTTGACACTTGCAATGAGTCTAAAGAACCAGGACGGGATCATTAGACCTTGGTCGCAATAATAAAACGTCAGGACATATTCACATACTCCATAAATTCATCATTGGAATTCGCCCCTGAGAGTCAGCCTAGGAAAAGCCAGCTGTCCATTGCATCAGTTTATTATCTAATGGTCTATATAACTTGAAACGGAGCTTTCGTATCACATGCAAATCATCTGAGATTTGAGGACATAAGTGAGAGATAGTTTAAACAAGTGCACAAAGTAATATTTTCATTCAATGCATTTCTTGAAACGTGCTAAGTAGTGCCGAAGTATTATTAT